AATGGGTAAAGACCTCCAACTTTGTGCGTAGTACCACTCAGCTGTCTTGGAGATGATTCCTCCTCATAGCAACTCCATCAGATTTGGAGGCTATAATAGGAGTTGACTTTCCATCTTCCTCCCCAAGAGCCATTGGTGGATTCAAACCACTGATTTTTTTTCCATTAGCAAACCTACACGTAACACATTGAAATCCAAATCTTTTTTGTCACCGATGGGCCTCTACCTGTTGTTCCACCCATGTATATTTAGCACCACAATTCAAAGGCATTGATTATTCTTCCATCATTTTTATTCACTATTGAATTATCAGATGCACAGTAAGTAATTGAAAAGACTATGGCTGGCTTGTATGAGGCACATTGTAGTCTTTAAAGTACATCCTTGCTCTTCAACATTTTGGAGAGGCCCGTGACTTCAGATTTTCCCAGTGCAACACATCTTTTGATTTCCTAACTGCTGATACCAAGGTTGTTGATTATTGAGCCAAATAAGATAAATAATTCACAATTTCAGTCTTTCCTCATGGTGTTGCCTATTGGCTCAGTTGTAGAGAGAGACAATAATTGTAAAAAGCATTGAGCTTGGATATTTGAAAGTTTTGTAGTAATTCTGATCCTCAATTTTCTGTCTATAAAATAGACTTGATAATAATCCTCAAAGAGGTTTACTGTGAAGTTTAGCAGCATTAATATATGAACAATACTTTGCATAGCACCTGTGTACAGAGTAGAGTTGCAAAAATGTACTGCAATCACCTAAAATCAATCCATTTAAAACTTAATTGATTAGGACATGTATTAAGTGTATTAAGAATTGACTTGAGATGTTAAATCCATGAAACTAATATTTAAAATACTTTCTAGATTGAGAGACAATAAAAGAAGGGCACTGTTCAATTAATTTACTTTATTTATTGACTTTCCTTTGAGGTCATTGCTTTTTAATTCAATGAAAGTATTTTTAATTTATAAATCCATTTGCTTAAGTAATATTTGTAGGAACTGGAATATGTCCAAAGGAACATGACAGAAATTTTTAGCAGTTTTCAACATGTCTGATGTAGAGCAATTAAATAATCTGATTAAATCACACACACAGACACACACACACACACACACACACACACACACACACAGACCCAAAAAAAACTATAAACATGACATTGATGTCATATAAGAAATGATTACCTTATTACAGAGAGATTAAATTTATTCTTGACAGAAGGAATGAAGACTAATAGACTTGGGTTCAAATAGAATTTTAACCAAGACTTCTTTCTTAGCATCATAGCTACCACAGATGGGCAGGTTACCTCACCATAGGAATTTAAAAAGATGCTTCATGAAAATAGCAAAATTGTGCCAGAAAATTCGATTATAGAATTGGAATGAAGGTGGAATTGCTGTGGTTGGAATAAATTACATTTAGACTGTTGTTTAGCTTAAAGATGCTGTCATTTTTTTTTATTGGTTTGCTTACAAATTCTGTATAATTGTGTTTCACATTGTTCTTTATTCACATTATGTTTTATACAATCATTCTCATGCATTATGTTTTATAAAATTAATCACCATCGGACCTTGCCCATTATTACCCTGTCTTTTCACCCAGATCCTTCCAGTTTGCTTCTCCTTCCCTAACCAAACTATACAACCCTGTGGTTTCATCCCTGCCCATCCTCACCCCTCCATTCCCACTCCTTCCCAAATTGAGTTCCCAAATCTATTTTACTAGTTATCCTATTTTTACAATAATGGTCTTATGCAGTATTTGTCCTTATGAGACTGAGTTAGGTGTCACTTTCAGACCTATTTTTGTGCCATACATACTGATAGGCTATATACTAAGCTTATTTGGCATTGAGTATTCTAATATGGCACGCAGATGAGATAATTTTATGTTGTTATTGTGTGCCATTGAATCATACTCAACTCATAGTTAACTCTCCAGCAGGTTTTCAGGGAGAGTAAATCACACAGGCAGAGCTTTCTCATCTTTCTCTCTTGGAACAGCTGGTGGATTAGAACCGCCTGCTGTTGAGTTGGTAGTTCAACTCCTTAACCACTGGACCACCAGAGCTCCCTGGCTTTGCGTATATGGATCATAAACCTGAATCTGGAAGAAAATATCAAGGGGTGCACATATTTTTACCTGTGAAGCTGTCAATGCATTCAGTAGTTCAGTTCTCATTCATTCCAAGGCACATTGCTTATCTGGGCTTTACACTGAAATTCTTCATTTTGCTATATTTTTCATGACAACTTCCTTATCAATGAAAGTAGAGAAGAAGTATGTCCATATGATCCTTTAATGCTGTGGTACTGTGTGTAAGCCTTTGTGCAAGAGTCAACCAGGTTGGGAAACAGGAACTTCGTTTATACCTTTATGGAAGAAGAAAACTGGAACAGATGCTGGCTAGAGAGGAACAGGTGATTCTTTAGCAAGAAAGGTGATCAGTCTCACTAGGAAGCAGATAGAGAGAGAGATGATTATAGGAAAAGGGGGTTTTGTTTGCTTGCTTGTTCTGATCCATTGGGAATGGCTTTAGATCTCCCTAGAGGGGTAACTAGAATAGAATAAAGATTGTTCTAGATTATTAGACAGTACTTGAAAGTAGCCTTTCTTCCCTGATAATTTACAAATGAGAAATCTGAGTTCTAAAGTGAATGAACTGATTTGCCTAAAATACTGTAGAACTAATAACAAAACATATAAGAAGTTCAAGTGGTGCAGAGCAAGCTTAGTGGTAAGGAGTTGCACTGCCAACACAAAGGTACATGGTTTAAATCCACTAGCTACTCCATGGAAGAAGGATGGGCAATCTCCTCTATTTACTGCTCCTGAAAATCTGCTGTAGGGTTATCTATGGGTCAGTTCTAACTCGGAAGCACACCACCACATCAACAGTGGTACAGTGATTATGCATTGAGCTGCTAACCAAAAGGTCAGTGATTCAAAACCACCATCCACTCTCCTGGACAATTTGAAACAGTCAGCTTCTGTAATGATTATGGTTTTGTAACAGGGCAGCTACACTCTGTCCTGTAGGTGCTGGGAATCTTAGTCTACTTGACAGCACTGGCTTTGACTTCTCTGTTTTTCAGAAGTTATCCCTTTTGACTTTGAATCCACTGTTGTTTCTGATACCAGTATTGATTACCAGGCACTTATAATCCTAAAACATTTGCTCTGAGTCTGATGACCTCCAGCAGCTGAATCTTTTCTCTAATTAACCATGGTTTGTTACTACATCTAGGATCTTCCTTTCCTACTGTCAGTAGTACGGAGAAAAGCTTTGTTGGAAATGAATCACGGATATGAATGAGGCCTTAGAGATCTTCTTATTCAGTTGCTTTTAAATGTCATTTTAATAGTTAAGCTCTTTGTTCAAACCATTTATTAACAGTGTAATATGCAGTGAGGTTTTTCTGTGGGTTTTTTAAGGGGAAGGAATGACTTCATATTGCCGTACTCCTAAAACAACTTGCTTTCCTCTACCCAGTTCTCAACAGTATGCATGCAACCAACAGATTCCTCAAAAGCACTATGATTTGGAAAAAAGAAGGAAATGAAACCTAATTAAGTGCCTACATTTTACAGTCATGGCTTTTGTACATGTGAGGGGAAGATAAAATGATCTTAGAACATCCAAGGCGAAAGATGGCCCTGTGCGGTGGTGCAGGTGCCAGAAATTTGGCCCCAATTCTCAGCGACTCCGTGCACAACAGCTTGGCAGACACCAAGCCATTCTCAGCACCGCCACCCACCGGAGCTTAAGTCCATTGGTGCAGTCACTGTGTTGATGCAGCTAATGGGTTGGTGATTAATATGTTGCTGCAAATGATGGCCATAGCAGTTACACACATTTTTCTAAGCACGGTTGTCAATTTAAAAGTGTGCGGTAACGTTTTAAACTCAGTGTGTAGTCATTCTGCTGATGCCTCCAGTGGTGGGACAATAAACTCAATTATGACAGATTAGCACAATGATTGTATCTATGAACTCAAGCATATCAGCGCTTGTGAGAAAGAGGCAGGATGGGGCAAGGTTCAGACCTGTTCATAGGGCCACTGTGAGTCACCTCGATGGCACCTAACAACAGGAGAAAAATCTTGACTATGGCAAAAGTACCTTGTAGGATGAGGTGCTTGAGTAGACAGTAGCAATGATTGTCTTTAAGGAAAAAGGATATATAAAGTAATAAAGTAATTGGCCATTAAGCTGTCTAAATAAGAGCTACAAGTAAGAACAACTTATGAGTTGTTAAACAATAGGAATGAAGTCAGGACAACAGACCTATTTCTCTCAAAATAAACAATTATTAGAGGGATAGACAAGGCAAAATTCTGATTTCGGGGAGATTGAGTCGTAGTGACCCTTCACTGGGTTCCTGAGACTATTAAATCTTTCGAGGGGGGGACTTGTCATGGAGCAGCTGGTAGGTTTGAACTGCTGACCATTTGGTTCTCAGCACAACTTATAATGCAAACTTGCACTGACTCCTAGTCATTAGAGAGACTATGACATGATTTTGCTTAGATGCTGTGCAGGCTGTGAGTTTTCAGAGGCCTTAAGTCTGAGGAGAGTCGGCTGCCTACTTTTCTCCCACAGAGATTTGAACCGTATATCTTTGCATTGCTAGTGTGTATCCCTTGCCACTAGACCAGACCGCCAGAACTCCCTACCTACTAGGATAATGTCTCTGAAGAAAGAGGCAGGTTTGCCCTCTCATGAATTAATTATCAGCTGGTGGCCTCAGAAGTTGCCTAAGAAGAGGTTGACCACTCCCTGTAAGGGAAATAAATGGAAAGGGGGTTAGGGGCTTAAGTCAAGAAACTTTGAGTTAACCTAGTAACCCAGCACCAAACTTAGTCCAAAGCTTGGGTTCAGTTTTTAGTTTTAGTTTTTAATGATTCCATTTCTAAGTGAGATTATTTGTTATAGTTTCCCTGGGACCTGAGACACTTTCAAGATTGGTGATGCCTTCACAACCCACATCAATGCTTTTTCCTTCCCAAATCCATGGGTGACTTTTTAATAGCTCTGGCTGTTTCCTTGTCCAAAGAGTCTTCATGCTCAAGATCATCCACCAGCCTAGCACACAGGGGTAACTCTCCCTCAGGAAGAAAGGGGGTCTGTGTGCCAGTGGTCCCGATCACCAGCACGTTCTTCTTCAAGTCAATGGAACACTGGTGCCTCTTGAGCATATCTAGGCCTAGAAGCATGTCCATGGGCTGCTCTTCCAGTATAGCCAAGGAGCATTGTAAGTAATCCCCTTCGATCTGAATTTGAGCTAAATGAATGCGGCCAAGAATTCTTTGGGTCCCCACCCCTTTGGCAATCCCTGCCCACCGTCGGTCCACCAGCCTTATTATGTTGCATCTTTCTGCGCAAGCTTGGCTCATGATGGTCATCTGTGCCCCCGAGTCCACAAAAGCCTTCAAAGGATGTCCATTCACTTTACAGTTAATATAAAGCATCACCACTTGTCCGAAACTCTCCGGGGCCTCTTCCATAGCTATGTTCATGTTCTCTTCAACGTTCTGCTGCCGGATTTCTTCTTCAATTCGGGCTTGAGCTTCCAGATCAAAAGGGTCAGCTGAAAAGAGGCGAAGCCTCTCTTGCTCTCTCAAGGCCCTCTCCCTTTGCTGGTCCATCAGGACCTGAGAGAAGCTCTCAAGGTTTCCGCTGAGCAGAGCTTCTGCCAAGCGAGGATTGCGTTCTTTGAGCAGGGATAGGTCGTGAGGATTGGAAAGCAGCATGCTGCGGATCAAGGCTGGGTTGTTGAAACTCTGGGAAGAGACCACCTTCTCTCCTGAGGCCAAGCCGCGTGTCAGCTGGACTGTTGGCACACGATGATGCTGGGACGGTTGCTGGCGTGAGCTGGATGTTCCAGGCGTGGCTGCTACCCCATTGCTATCCATCCGAGGCTGATTGAGTGTGCGTCCTGCAGGCCTGGGCCCCATGTTGTCCTTCTGCAGTAAGATGACAACATCACCGTCTTTCAGCCCATAGGAACCCAAGGGACGATGATCGTCAACAAGGAGCCGCTCCATGAAAATGATCTGGGTTTCTTCAGCGGGGATGCCAGACTCAAGCTCACACAGTACACGGAAGTTGTGAAGCTCAAAATCAGGGCTGACCTGGAGAGAGAAGGTTACCTCGGAGAGGTCCCTCTGCACACAGTACACGGTGATCAGCATGGCACGGGCCCAGGAGGGCCAGGAGGACAGATGACATCGAGTTGTTCACTAGCTGACTGCAGATGGTCTCCTGCGGATGAGCTGTGTCTCAGGACTCAGCTCAGTTGCTCAGTTCATTCACCTGTACAGGAGGCACAGCCGCTCACCCGCCTGGAGCGCCTCCCAGCTCCAGTGGTGCCCAGGGAGCCTTGAGGTGGCTTGTTGAGTTCCAGAGTTCATTTGTAGCTGTGTTCTTTGGAACTTAGAACTCTCATCTTCATGGAAACCAAGTTGCTCAATTCTCTAGTGTTCTAAAGCCAGTCCTTAAAAGCCAATACAATACATAATACGGAAATGATTACTTCACCTCTTCCAAAACAGTGCATTTAACATTCATTCTGTTCAATTTTTATAACTATTCTTTGTGCTCCTAATCATTTCCTAGACTTTCTCCTACCTGGATGTTAAATCTATACTTTCTAGGAAAGATAAACCAGAGTTGGTCCTTGCATTTGAAGATCTTGAAGCCAGGGAGGGATTGGGTATAAAAGGGCAAACCCCATGACTGGGGTAAGTACTTTCACGGAAAAAGGAAACTAATAAAACAAAGAAAATTTGTCTCAAGAGGACTCAAGCTAAGAGATGAAAATGACCATTTCCCAGAAGGCAGTGATAAGCAGCACTCTAGAAAAAGAAGGAATTATGCGTTTACAAATCAGGAATTCATGGCAAGGCATGTTGTTTCCAGAGAAAGATAAGGCATTCAATGCAATAGGAATTTGTGCATGGATTTGAAATCAAGATATATCTCTACTACTATGATGCATTGCCACCGAGTAGGAGCAGACTCATAGTTGACCCACCAGAGGGTTCTCAAGGCTGTAAATAACTCGAGAGGAGACTTCCCACCCACCTTTCTCCTTGGTAGTGGCTAGCAGATTTGAACCACCAGAACAGATTCTTCCAATTTCCCTGACCCCCCCACCCATCAAATTGTGCAACTCATGATGAATTCCCCCTCCCTCTGCACATCCTCATCCCTCTGCTTCCACCCTCCCCTTCCCGCCCTAGGATCCTCATACTCATTCTAAAATAATAGTTTTATACAGTATTTGGTTTTGTGGGACTGAATTAGTTGAATCAGCATAATGCTTTTGTTGGTTTGCTTTTAAATCATCTAGGAAGATATTTCTTGTGGCTCTAATAGTGGCAAAAGGCCTAGTTCTCCATAAGAATTTTTAATAATTCAAAAAGGGATGTGCAGGTCTTGAAACCTCCAGAAACCTCAAAACCAATGCCGTCTGAGTGGGTCGGATCCTGACTCTGTCAGGCTTCCAGAGCTATGTATTTTTACAGGAGGAGATTGCTTATCTGTCTCCCAGAGAGATGCTGGTGGATTTAAACTGCCAGCCTTTCAGTTAACAACCTGATACATTATGTACTATGTCTTCAGGGAGCTTTAAGTAGAATGTATAGGACGTGGAGAGGAAATAAGCAAGTTGTATGGATAATAGAGCATTGCTAAAAGGCTTACTAGTTAGAAATGGAGAGGTTGGACAAACAGCTAGCTAATCAAAAGATTAGCTATTTAAGTCAACCAGTAGGTCCTCTCAAAAATGTCCTTGCAGCCAACTTCCCATAAATGAGCCGTTGTAAACCATACAGAACCATTGCCCTCTGACACACAGTTCTCAGGAATCAGAACTGACTCACCAGCAAGCGGTTGGGTTTTGGTGAGAAATAATTGTGTTCCTGGACGGATGAGTGGGATGAACCTTGTGGTAACCAACTGGCCACACATTGTGCAGTAAAATGAATTGTGACTGCCATACCAGCAGCCAGCTGTGGTTCTCTCTGACCATGGGCCACAGAGGACCCTTCGCTCCGTCCAGAGCTGAGATGGAGACATGGTGCCTGTTAGACTTCTCTGAGTGCCTCTTAACTTTCTCTGCATTTCTGAAAGTGCTTTTCCTTGACTCATCTTCCCATGTTTATCCACATCCACCCCCGGAATACAAGGCAGTCAGCATCCCCCTCTTCTCTTGACATTTTGTCCAAAATATACTACCCTCCTATAGAAGAAAACAATGTATTAGCTTAGGAATTCTTTTCTCTCTCTTTTTCATGTGCTTGACATCTCAGACCGAAGAAAGTGCCTCACTCATTAGTCCAATTTCTACGTTTCCACGTTGTTGTTGTTGTTGTTGTTGATTGCCTTAAGCTGAGCATGACTCATAGTGACCCTGTGAACAAAAGACCTAACGCCCCTCTACAACTATCGACATTGATCATACTTGTATTAGAAATGTTGACTTAATGCCCAGGGTGTGTGTGTGAAACGTGTGCTGAAGTGGAGTCATGAGTATAGTAAACAGAGACTGTTCTTAAAAGAGCTGACAGTCTAAAAGAGGAAAAGCATACACACAAATACACTCTCTCACATACAGACAGATTCACACTTGAAAACTACTTGAGGATGTTAAAAAAACACACACAAAAAAAATGCAACACAGTAAGAAACCACTATTACTGAGGGAGAAACTGATAACATCAGAAAAGCAAATTAATGCGATGGTGAGAGCTGTTGGACACAGAAAACTTTCTGGAAAAGCTAAACCTAGAGAGAGGAGGAGGAGTTTAGCCAAGAAGATCAGGGTGGGGATGGAGAAGCAAAGGAAACAGGAAACTTGTTGAGCAAAGTGTTGCCTGACTTCCAGTCTTTAAATAGAAAGGCAGCACTTCATAACACAGGGTTTTATGCAGTTTGGGAGAAGAAATATAATATTGTAGTATCCTGGAAAAAAATCATGAATCATTTGCTTATTAAACCCTAATTGAGCCCTGGTAACCTAGTATATTACACATTGGGCTGCTCAGAGAAACGTCAGCAGTTCAAATCCCCAGCTGCTTCACACGTGAAAGATGAGCAACCTGTTCTCCTGAAGATTTACAAATTCCCCCAATTCTCCTTATGTAAACATTTTCTATCATTTTAGAGTATGAGTAAACACTCATATTCTATAAAAACAAAAGAAATTTATCAAAAATCTACACAGTTTAAATTTGTTTCACACCTCGTCTTACGAAGTGAAAACAAATTTTTCAAAATGGTGGCACAAGAGGCATATTTATGTGGTAAATGAAAAATAAAAAGCTACAATAATCTAATTGGATAATGCAAAATCAGGAAAATTGAACTCAGGGTGACTTGAAGAGAAGATTATACAGTGATATATTGCAGACATGGATTTGAAGCATTTCGATTGACCAGTTTAAATAGGAATTAAATTAAAAAAATATTTACAGCTTTAGAAACCTGTGAGGTCTCTGTGAGTTGGCATCTACTTGATGTCCATGGCTTTGATTTTATTTTGAGGGTTAGTGTAGAGATGAATGGATATTTGACTGAATATTATTAAGTTATTGAATTATTTAATGCCTTGATAAGCTCATCAGGGGTCAATAATAATTTCTTTTGAGTTTGGAAACAACTTTAAAATGAAGGTGTCCCAGGCAAGTCACTGAGCTTAAGAATAGATGAGACACCCATGATGCTTGGATTAAGTGCTTCCCCCACCAGTAGGCTTTTGAACAGTTTGTTCTCAAAACCTTAACTTAGGGAGATAATACTAGAATGTTTTCATTTTGTTTTGATTGTGGATGATGTTAGTTTTGTAGAATAATTTTGGGAGACAAAACAAGAATTCATTGCTCACATTAAATGTAACTACCATCCTCTCCCTCCTTAATAATTATTTCCCCTTGTTATGGAACCTAATGGGAATTTTTGCAATATTTATATTCCCTTACATAATCATTCACTGCTGATGTTTTCTCCATCAGTGTGGGTTTGCTTTTTTTTTATTTTTGCTTTTTACTCTTTACTAAAAACACGGCATATTGAAAAACAAACTAAAAAATGTAATGCCAATCCAAGGGGAATAAAAAACTTTTAAAAAAAAGAACAAACACAAACCAACCCACACACATCATGAAAAGCAGCAAGGCTAACTCTCGTCATCCCATAGCTCACAGGGTGTCAGGACATGACCGATCCTTCTCTTTCTTCTTCTTTGAGGGCTTGACCCTCTGGTTGCAAAAGAACTTGAAACCTGGACAGATAAACACAGTGTCTATGGCTCTTTTAATACTTCTGTTTGTATATAATTTTATTCTTTAATTTTGCTCAACAAACGTCAGGTCATTGTGAGCTACAAATTGACTCACTAACTCTGGACAACAACATTACATTGGTCATTCAGGAATCATATGTATAATCTTCTGACCTCAAAATGTTAATAAAATAACTGTTCTCATTCTATTAAAGGGAAGGGGAACATTGGTAAAATATGCCAGAAAACTCAACTAGCTTTATTAGTCACTGACTGAGACTAATGGAATCCTTACAATAATGGTCCTTATTTACCTTTCAAGCCTAGAACTGAAATCACCCCAGTGACTTCCTATTCAGCCAAATACTAGACAGACCTGTCAAGTTCCTCCACTCGCTCCTTAGAAGAGTCAACCACACGACTATTCAAAGGGCAGCATTTGTTCAAGATTAAAGAACAGAAAGTAGGAAGGGATAGGAGGAAGGATGGATAGAAATGTGGAAAACAGGAAGGAAATGGAAATGTGCTGTTGCAGTGTGGAGATTGCTGTTAATGTCATGGAAAAATGTACATGAATTGTTGGATAGAAAAACCCTTTTGCTCTTGAAAACTTACACTGGAAACTAAAAATTGTGGAACTCCTTGTTCGTCTAGGGAGTTCTGATGACCTAGTGGGCTAAGGTTTATGTGGCTCACCCAAACGTGATGTCTCTCTGGCTGTTTGAATCCACCAGTCTCTAAGTGGGAATTATGGGAAATCACCTACCATGTGACTTACAGCCTCTGAAAACCAGCTAGAGGGTCAACTATGAATTGATTCTGATTCCAAGGCAATGACTTGACTTTTGACTGAGCCATTTTCAATAAAACCTGTGAAGTCTGGAACTCGACTGAACTGTCACTTCTTTC